TGAAGGACAGCTGGCACACCCCCAGCAGGGAGTCAGAAGGTAGGAGACCCCTCCTGGAGGGAGCTACTGAGTTATACACCAGATGAGTGACTGTACAAGATGACCTGAGGTCTTTTAAGTCATTTCAGTGGGTTGCAATTGCCACTCAGTAGAGCCAGGAGAACTGGACACCTGGGGCATTTATGCACAAACCTTTTTATCCCCTGATGCACCAGAGATTTCATAGATTTCATAGATTTTTAGCATCAGAAGGGACCTCAGTGGATCATCGAGTCCAAACCCTTGCCCTGGTCAGGAAAGAGCGCTGGGGACAGATGACTCCAGCCAGGTGCCTGTCCAGTCTCCCCTTAAAGACCTCCTGGTCTGGGGGCTTTATTGATTGGTGAGACTCAGGCGGCTTATTGGACTCGGACTGGAGAGAAAGCCCTTGACTCAGAGAGTCCTTATTAAAGAGGTTGTCTAAGAAGACCTATTGGTAATGGTTTAGGGCCAAAAAGGTTATGAGGCCCTGGCTATTGGGGCAGGCATTGGCTGATGATGCACAGAAGGAGCTACACCCAGAGAGTAGAACTCCCAACAAAATGCTGGAACAAGTGATCCTAGAACCATTTATCTGGGATTTAGATTGTAGTACTAAAGAGTAGGTGATAGGGCACTACCCCACTATGGTAGAGATGGCAGTAAAGCTGGCAGAAGATCTTTCAGCAGCACCCCTCAAAGGGAACAAGGCGAGCAGTCAGGACAAGTCAAGCAAGGATGCATCCTGAAAGAGAGCAATACCCACAAGCAGGAGGCCAGTATATCCCCAGAGACAGAGGGCTCACTACCCAGTCTGACCAGGGGTGGTTGTTTGAAATAGGGGTCAAGGACACTAGGTACACTCCAACCTGAGGAAGCACCTTTCCAGTGTCATGGGGAGCGGCCAAGGGTCCAGGGGAGGAACAGTAGGTGTACCATAAAGAGTATATAGGGAAAAGAAAGCCTTGCCAGAATCATACCAAGGTGGTAAAACTGCAGAGCACAAGAAGCTCTGGTTGTCATCTCAACTTTGGAAATATTCAAGCAGATATCCCCTATGAATGGGACAGAAGAACTATCTGCTGTAACCATAAGCAACCAAGTGGCAAGAAGTGAGTGACCAGAGGCTGCAGCAGCAACACCACTGAGGGCAATGGAGGAGGACACGGCCACCCCTAAGAACCAGCCTCAATCTCTGCAGCAGCAGGAGCAGCCACAGGACAGGGAGACAGAAGCACTGTCAGTAACAGCAGCCAAGATTGGCAATGCCAGTGAAGAGACAGGTAAAATGGATAGTGCTTGGACAGTTACCGAAGAAATGGCAGACATAGTGAATAGAAAGAAGAAGGATTCACATACAAATTCAACGGACAGAAATTCAGGCACAGAAAGAGGTCTCAACCACAAAAGAGTGTTTGTGAGTAACCTACTATATGATGTGGCTGGTGATCTATTAAGTCTGATGAGAGAGAAATTTGGTGGAGTTCCATAAAATAAGACTGTTTAAAAATGTCAGAGGAAAGTCCAGTTGCTATGGTGTGGTTGAGTTCAAAGATGAAGAATTCATGAAGAGCACAGAAGAGCAGGGGTGGGCAATTATTTTCACTGGCCATTTAACAAGTTTTGATGAGCTATAGAGAGCCACAAGGGTAGCTCCGCCCCTTGACAGGTGCCCTGCCCTGGTCACCATCTTTGGACTGGAAGTCCTACTTTTAACCTCTGACCTTTGCCACCAGAAGTCCTTCCCCTTACCCCAGAGGAAGGGTGATATCTTGAAACTGAAAAAACCTACAAATCATATACTAAAAAATAAAACATCTACTGTAATTTAATTTTATTTAAAGTATTTTTGTCCTGATTTGTGTGTGCTTACATAGTATATCTAGAGGCAACTGCATAATAGCTCAAAATATAGTCCTACTCTTGTATATTTTGTGTGGGCAGTCAGGGGATTAGGTGGGGGGATGTGATTAGAGAGTGGATGTGTGTGTGTGTGGTGGAGTGTGTGGGGTGTGGGTATGGTGGGTGGGTGTGGATGCGTGTGGGGTATGTGGATGGTGTGGGGACTGTGGGAGGGTGTGGGCATATTGTGGGTGGGGTGGAAGAGAGAGAGAGAGAGACAGGGCTGGGCCACCAGTTCCATCGTGTGCGGCTCTGGCAGACTCTGTGCAAGCCTCATGCGATGCAGCCAGGCAGACCCTGCGGCAGACTCTGCGCTCCTCCTGCCTCACCCTGGGACCCTGCTGGCCCCAGGGCACTGGCATGGGCTCTGTGCTCCTGCCTACCACCACCACTTCCTTGCCGCTTCCCTACTTTCCATCCCACATGCCCACCAACCACTACTGCTGCCACTTCCCAGCCACCACCACGCCCCCGCATGCCCACCCACCCACCCACCACTCTAGCTTCAGACCACTCCAGCCAACACCACGTCGTTCCCAACTACCTGGCAGGGACCTCACAGCACAGCATGGAATAAGCGTGGCCGAACCCAGGTCCTGATCATGACAGTCCCCTCCACAACATCTCCCCCCACCCCCCGCACCATCTGATCTTTTTTTACTTTCCACTCGGACAAAGGGAGGGTGGGAAACAGCCAAAGGGTGACCAGGTCAGAAGATGCAGAGGCTTCCAGGTGGGGGCTAGACTTGGGGTAGGGCTGGGCAGGTCTTGCTGCTCAGCCAGTGGGTTCTGCTGCCAGCTCCCCGAGCCCTGCTGCCACTGGCGCTTTGTCATCTTTGACAGGCAGCCATGCACAGAAAATAATCAATTTTCTAAATTATTGAGAGGCCCTGTGGGCCAGATAGAATGGCCTGGTGGGCCAAATCCAGCCTGCGGGCCATATTTTTTCTGCCCCTGCAATAAAATTATGAACAAACATGACCTGGGGAGGAATCTTTGAGCATTAAAGAGACTCCTGATGTTTACAAGACGTTGCAGCATGTGGGGGGACCAATCCTTGGAAGAGAGGGGCTTGATGTTGCCCCTGGGTTGGGGATTTACTGGCTTCCGTTTCTGATAACCTGAACATTCCTCTTAAGATTATCAGTAACTGGGAGCCTAGCAGACTTGGATCCATTATTTGTATTGGTAACCTTAATCCTAAAGCTGGCTGGACAAAACAGAAGGAGGTACTCAGTATTGAAGGATTTATAAAATGGGTAGAGATCAAAGCAAACAAAGATGGAAAGAGTCAAGGTATGGAAACAGTCATTTCTGAATGACCCAGTGAGGCAGTCCGGGATGTATCTATAATCAATGGGCAGTTTCTGTTTGGCAGACCAATGTAAGTAAAAGTAGATGCCAGATCAGTTTCTCATAAAGACCTTCAAGAGGTGGTGTGCAAAGTGTCATAATTGCCCCATAGCCTAGTGGTTGTTTGAATGGGCCTTGGGCCAAGGGAAAATCAGTGCCATTTAAATGAGTTTCTAGCAGCTTTCAAGAAACAAGTGAAGGTGCCAGTTTTCATCTATAAAGCCATAAACAGTAACCTTCTGCCAGTGTCATCAGTACACCAAGTCCACTTGCTGAAAGCAAGTCAGAGGTCAGTCTCAGCAGTCGCTCCTCAGCTCTGGAATTCTCTTCCTCTTGAGGCCTTACAGAGCTCGAGCCTAGATATTTTTGGAAGAGCTACAAGACTTTTCTGACAAGTTTTTTACTCCATGTTGAATTGAGGGTGGGCACCTAATCTTATATGCGAGTCAATATGTCTGTGGCTTAGGTGACCCCTGAGATCTGTGACAACTCTTATTCTATGATCCACTTTTCTGTAACAAAACTATTCCTCGGCACAGCGATCCCTCTGCTCGCACCAGTTGGGCCTGATAGTCTGTAAAACGCCACAAGTGGGAATGATCCCTTCTGAGTAAACACAGAGCTGTCGGTGAATATTTCCCTTCCTCTCTACAGCTGCTCCTTTCAACCTTACCTTTGTCCTTTCTCCCAGCAGGAAGAAAGAGGCAATGGGAGCTCCCAGGGAGTGTTCATCCTACTGGGGCTTTCTGACAAGCCATACCTGGAGAAGTTGCTCTTTGTGGTCTTTCTGATAACCTACATCGTGACTTTGCTGGGGAACCTGGCCATTATTGTGGTTTCACGCTTGGATCCTAGTCTCCATACGCCCATGTACTTCTTCCTCAGCAATCTCTCTCTCCTGGATATCTGTTACACCACCAGCACTGTGCCTCAGATGCTGGTTAACTTCCGGAGCACCCTCAAGACCATCTCCTGGGCCAGCTGCGTGGCGCAGCTCTTCATCTTCCTTGGCCTGGGGTCCATCGAGTGTGTCCTTCTGGCAGGCATGGCCTATGACCGATATGCAGCCGTCCTCCAGCCCCTGCGCTACACAAGCATCATGAACCACCGCCTCTGCTGGCTGATGGCATCTGCCTCCTGGCTAAGTGGCATCACCAATTCCCTTGTGCAGACTAGCCTGTTGCTGCGCGTGCCCTTATGTGGACGGAACCGGGTTGACCACTTCTTTTGTGAGGTGCCAGCTCTTCTCGAACTGGCCTGTGCCGATACCTCCACCAATGAGATTGGGCGGCTTGTCGCCTCTGTGGTGTTGTTACCAATGCCTCTGGGCCTTATCCTAGTCTCCTATGGCTATATTGGAGCTGCTGTAATGAAGATCCGCTCAGCTGAGGGCAGGCGCAAGGCCTTTAATACCTGCACTTCCCACTTAATGGTGGTATCACTTTTCTATGGCACAGCCACCTATATGTACATGCAGCCCCCATCCAACAAACCCCATAACCAGAGCAAGATGGTTGCACTCTGCTATGGTCTCATCACCCCAATGCTGAACCCCCTGATCTATACACTGAGGAACAAGGACGTGCATGGGGCCCTAAGGAGAATAATAGGAAAGCAGTTCTGGATGCAGAGGACATAAGCCAGAACAATGAAATGAGACTGCCTGGCTTGAGTTGTGGGCAAATGGGATAGAGAGCCTTCTCCTCCGGTTGAGGAATGGTTCAAGGTGAGGGGGGTTGGAGAATAGTAAACTTGTGTTTTCTTCTTTAGGTCATTATTTCCAGTGCAGCTCAGTAGTGCCTGCCAGTTTTTACTGTCTGCGAGTTGATGTGTGTATGGATTGAAATAAGCTCAGTGGAGGGTCAACCCCAGTATCCCCAGGAGGCTGCTGCAGCTGACATCTTTTTCAGAGGGGGTTGCAAGTGAGCACCAATCCAGCATGCCTTGCAGTGGACAGCTGTCTCAAGGAACGCTTGCATTCACACTTTGGGGGCTTCAGGAGTAGGTCACCTGTGACTGGAGGCATTTTAATTTGTCTGATTTCCCTTCTGTCCTAAACATGAGTCCAGTAAGGGTCAGTAGCCTACACTTGGCCAAACTCTGCAGTGTGCTTGCCTGACTTGGGTGCATGTATGTTCTTGGAAACATATTTTTGGGTTCCCAGAGACTTGAAGTGGGGGGGTGATGAGGGGATGGAGTTTTAAGCAGTGAGAACACAGCTGGTTGTTAGAAAGACAGATTTTACTGAATAAACAGTGCAAGGGAGCTCATTGATAACAAGTGTCAGCAAAAGGGTGGGGGGGAACAGCAATTAAATTCTGGCCATATACCAGAGCAGCCAGTTAGGGTGCAGACAGAAGTGACAATTTTCATGAGTTCTGACCCCTGAAAGTGCTCTGCAGCCATGTCATAATGCACATGCACAGCTGCAGAGCACTTTTAAATAGCCAATCACATGAAAAAGTAACTCTTGTTCAATCAGGTAATTAAGTGAAGGGACTCTCAATTAGACTGCTTTAGGGAATTTGTATACAGTTCCCCATGAGGGTTAAATGTCATGCCCCTGGTTTGCCACAGGAAGGAGGCAGAGAGTCTCCTCCTTGTGCTGCCAGAGAAGGAAGGGAAGAGCACAGCCCGGGGAGGCCCTGGCCAGCATCCCCACCCCCAGGGAGAGGGTCCCCAGTTCCAGATGGCACTGCTCAAGGGGTCCACCCCCTAAGAGAGTTCTTGGCAGCCCAACCAGCTGCTGGTGCCTCAGGCAGGCAGGGGACCGAGCCCAGAGACACCAGCTGGCCCCGCTATCAACCTCCCAGAGCAGACTGCAGAGTTGCCTTCCTCCTGGCCTCAGCCAGTGCATGAAGGCTCGGAGCCCCCAACAAACCCTGAACATCTGTTGACTTTCCATGACACTGTAACTTTAAATGCTTTGTGTAAAGTGCTTAAAGTTACAGCATGATCAATAACTTCTGTAAGCGCCCCTACAGTAGAAAGGGGGAGAAGCAGTGCCAAAGGAGATGCCCAGAGGACTGGCCAGACCCACCTCAGGGAATATTTGGTGTCAGCGCATCACTAATCCAGTTCACAGGGAACTGGTTCAAGAGTACTTTATTTTCTAGGGTTGCTGGTTATAGCCTTGTCTGCCTATGGCCTTAGGCCAACAAGGTTCTTTGGGTAGGTGTGATATCTTTTATTATCACAGCTAAATAGTTGGAAAAATTGTTCTTTGCAAGTTTTTGGGCACAGACACCCTTCTTCAGGCACAGGGAGAGTCTCACAAATCACCAACAGACTCTCCCTATACCTGAAGAAGGGGGTTTGTGCCTGAAAAATTACAAAGCACATTTTTCCAACTGTTTAGTTGGTCTAATATAAGTTATCACACCTGCCCGAAAAACCTTGTCTGCTTTATTTTCCAGGTCCATTCCAGGTAGATTTACACTAGTTTAACAGGCTTGTCCAATTTGTTTTGGACTCACAGCACCCCTTGACAGACTTGAAATGTCCCTCAGAAAGTGCTAGCTCTTAGTTTTCACTCGCTTTTTGACTACAGAAAAATAATAGAGCAATTCTCAATTGCAAAGAATTCAGAAAGACAGTAATGGGTCAGAGTGCTATGACACTGTGGATTCAGGATTTGAGATCTCTGGGTTTATTTTGCAATCATATTTGCACACCTCATATGCCTAACACTGTGTGGCACCCCATGGCAGCCTTGAAAGGTTCTCAGGGCACCCTGGTTGAGAATCACTGCTCTGTACTTTGGGAAAGCAGGTCTACCTCCGATCCACTTCAGCTGCAGGCTTAGCAAACATAGCTGCTCTTACTGCCATCTTTTGGCAGAAACATAAAACTGAAAATTATCTCCGCTCATATTTACTGATTAAATAAAAACCGCAACTAGTTTGCCCATATCATAGAATAAATGAGCCACCTTTGCCCTGCTTCTGCTCTCTGTCATTTTATCTATGTGGTCCGTGTCATTTTTTTGTTGGGCAGTAGGGCGAAAAGCATTGGGAATGAAAAAATAAAAAGAAAGAGCACAGGTATGTGGAAAATGTACATATGGTAAGTACTTAAGTTATCCACTAGATAAAAAACAGAGTCCCACACATTATTGCTTTTGTAGCATGAATGAGTATGACATGCCAGGGGCCTCTTCCATCCTTCCATCCCCCTGTGTGTCAGGATGCCCTGCAACCCCATACCAAGATCTCACAGCTTACACTTCTGTGTACTTCTCCCACCCACACACGGGGCTGCCATTCTCTCCACCGCGCTAGAGGCTCTGTGTGCACGCAAAGGAGCCACCCTCCAATGAAGCCCGAGCCAAGTGAGCTAGGACAATTTGAGTAAGAGTTAGTGTCGGGGCTAGGAAGAGGAAGTACAGCTCTTGACCTCCTTCATGACTTAATGTAAATCACACCCCTCCCTTTCTGTGCCTTTCATCCTTTGCCAGCGTACAGTGCTCTTTATGGGCAGTCTCATATGTCTCTATGCAGCACCCAGTACAGGGAGGCTCTGATCTCAGCTTGATGCAGGGAAGGTCTCTTCCCGTGTTTGTGAAGCATCTGGCAGAATGAGGCCATGATCTAAATTGGGAGCTTTGGGTCTTGTTAAGTGTAGAGTCAGAGTGCGTCTGAGAGGGGGATTTGTGTGTGGGTCTCTAGTGAGGAGCTATGGAAGAAGCCTCTTTGTGAAGGAATGCATGGATGCTCCAAATCAATGAGGGTGAACACCGTGCTGGAGGTGGAAGAGCATTGATGTAGGTTAAGGGGGTTAGGAGGTAGATTTTCAAGACAGGTTGGCAGTTAATTCAGATAGCCATTTAGTAGGATTGGTAGTGGGAGCTGTACACATTTAAATTGCATAGGTGATATTGTAAATACTGCTAACAATCTTGTATGCCTATATATTTTTGAAAATATCTTCCTGAATTCCTCCATCTTTCAGGGTATATCCTCATTGTACACACAAAAGCTAGCTTTAATTTATCTTGGAATCAAGTATCAATGAAGTTATGGTGACATGATATAACAGGATAGGTGCCCCAGCAGCGGCTGTGCTACCCCCTTCATGGTCACTCTCTGCTCCTGTTTTGCTGTGGCTCTAGGTACCCCCCATCAACTCTTGCTGGCTATGTCTTGATACACTTAGTAAAATTTGGAAAAGGAAGCTGCCCCAGGGCCCCAGAGCAAGCTTCACGCTGGCTCCCTGCTAGCAGATCTCCTCAGATCCTTTGGGACTCACTCCAACCCTCGCACTTAATGGCTAAGGACAGAAGTTACACACAAACCAGTTTAAGTGATCAGAAACTGGTTTACACCTGTAACAGCAGAAGCTCAGGGCACAAAAACTAGTTTAAAATGGCTGAAACTGGTTTTAAGATAAACCTGGTTGAATGTAGTATCAGACTTAATTGATCTGAGTCAAACCAGTTTATGAAACTTCTGTCCCTACCTCCTTCCTGGTTCAAGGGAAATCACAGTCCTCTGTCATCCCAGCATGCTTTTCAGCCCTGAGCTAGGCTGTGCTGATGGCTCTAGAGAGCAGGATTGTCTGTCCCCTCCCCCCAGGGCTCCCTAGCTGGAGCAGTGATGGCTGGCTGACAGGGGAGCACAAACCCAGCTGAGGATGCAGTCCGATCTCCAAGGTGGGGGACTGCCCCCCCCGCCAGGCAAACCCCAGATGGGATATGGGGCCAGGGCCTGGGTTAAACACCCCTTCCCCCATTCAAACTTACTGCCAGCTGCAACTGTGGACTACAAATCCCAGAGGCACCTGGAAGCAGGAAGAGGAGGTGATGAGCAACCCTGTAGAGTCCTGCTGCTGTGATTGTGGACTGCAAATTCCAGGGACCTTGGTGGCGGCAGGAAGAAGAAATGAACACACAGCTAGAGAGCCATGCTATAACGCCCCCCAGCTCCTGGCCTGAATTACTGTAGGCATGTGGCTGTATTTCCTGAATCAAAGGTACGCCTCTATTCACTTCCGTTTAAATTTAATCTGTGCAGTTTAGACCAGCCTGCAAAGACCAAATCAATTCAGCCTCAGACTTTTTGACTCTCTGTACTTAGCACCTGTTGCCTTAGGGCTAATCACAGGCTCCAAGCCTCCCCTACAGCTATGCCTCGCAGGTGTTTCCAGTCATACTTAAGTGAGCACTTTGCCCCACACCACAAGGCTGCCTTAGACCTCCACTCCCTTGTTGGGTCCGTGGCCTTCTCAGCTTCCAACCCCACTACTCTGGCTGGTCCCTTTGGCCTTGACCCACTGCACTAAGCCTGGCTTCTCAGGCTTCAACCCTTGTCTTGCCCTCTTGGGCTCGTATCTCCACTCTTCACAGACTCATGGTCCCTCTGGTCCCCAAACTTGGCCTCTCTGGGCTGTGGCTCTCAACTTCTTCCTCTGCCCATCATGAGCTGTGGGTCCCTGACCTCAACTTTGCCTCAAGCACTGGGCCCTTGGCCCTGTTCATTTTTATTGCATTCTCTACTGGTGGACCCTTGGCCATGAGTCTTGCCCCCCCCCCAAAAAAACCTGAAGCTTGTACCCAGCTCCAACAAAGTTATGCCTCCCTGGCTCTCTTGTACTTCCATATCCCCCTTTTTTAGTCCCAACTGGTCCACTGCTTTATATAAA